ACCGCACAAGGGTTCCACTAATTTGGTCTTTGCTACAATCAACAACTTACCGACTTCGAAAGGGGGGTGATTTCGCGCCTCGTCGGTTCCATAGCTCTCTATCTCGAGTTACACAAGTTTGTCTATGTTTTTGTGTGTGCATGGTTGTCTTTCCTTTTTATATACGACGTGCAGACTTCGGTGATTTGAGATGAACATGCTGTGGGTTCCTGAAGTCAGGTAATCAGGTAGTTAACAGTAGATGGGTTTAGTCCACATATTACTGTTATCCAATTTTTCTTTTACTATTTTCACTGATCGTCTTGTCTTATGGCTCATTAAATACAATGTAAATTGACTCATTACACATCAAAATGTTGTTGAAAATGAAGAAAATGTTTTCCAGCTGTTGAAAAATATTGGCAGCTTCGTACCATTAAACCACAAAAATTATATTAAATTACTTATCATTATTAAGTAAATATAATGTCATGTTTTCTTCTGGTCGGCTCAGGGTCCTGCACCTGTCAATGACATCACACTAGATGACTGGCTGGACGTACGACTTACAGAAGTTACGTTACCATGTTCAAAAGCATTTAGGTAGAAAGAAACACAAATTTTATAATAAAACTGCTAAACTATTTTCAAAACATATGTGAGAAGACAGAAAGGAAAAAGAGATGCAAAATATTCTGGCTGAGAAGTATTATAATGGCGTCATCGGCAGATGCAAGACCCCGAGCAGATCCGGAAAGTACAGCACCAGGAAACTACAATTGCATTCTCCCGAGGGAATTAACTGAAGGACCATCAAAGTCTGAGGAGTCGAGGTTGTCATGGTCTGCGTCTGCATCTCCCTCATGTGTCTCCTTGTGTGCTCCATCCCCCTCTAACCCCTTCTTTCCACAGGAGCCGTCAGCAGCATGTTACTGCAGCAGCACGTCTTGCTCGCGTATGCTGCTGCTTGGCCCTTCCCACAAGACGCAAAGCAGCAGGGGAGTAGCTGTCACCGACCGAGCACAAAGTCACACAAGTGACTTCGTCAGTAAACACAACAACAAGCAGGCGAAAACTACAACATGGCTCCAAAAAGTTTGTGTTTTATGTTCTGTCCGTTTTATAATTGCCAATATGGACCTGAAAAACAAAGGAGACAGCTATAGCTAGGTGAGAACTTTTCACGGGGCCGCACAGTTAGTAACTTTTTTTTTAAAGTAAAGCAACCGGAAGGCAGTACGTTTCTTTATTCTGAAAATCTCAGAAAACTTCGCTCCGTTTCCGCGTCCTATTTCCTGTCTTTCCTTCCCCAAAAATGTCGAACTTGACCCCTTTCAGGGGCGTAGCGCGTAGAAAATAGAACCAGCACGTAAAGGCCGCGACATGCTGCTCCTGAGACGCGGCCGACTTGCGCTGCTGATGGCTGCTGATGGCTCCGGTGGAAAAGGTTCTGTTGACCACAGCAGTTCCTATCAGCAGCTATGACGTGCTGCTGCAGTAATGTGCTGCTGATGGCTCCGGTGGAAAGAAGGGGTGAGGATCCCCTTATGTGTCTCCTTGTGTTCCTCATGTGTCCCCTGGCCTGCAGCCCCTCCAGGTTATCCCTCCCAGGTCCTGTGCTCCCATTGGTCTCCCCTAGTCACAACTCTGCAGTTTTTCTATTAGGTTCAGCTTTTCATTTGTTTAGTCTCTTTTGGTGTGTTTCTTTTGTTTTTTTTAGTTCTCCTTCCTCCTTAGAACATTAATTATTTAGCTTGCTCTTGTCTTTAGGTTTTGTTTTTGGTCTTGGGTCATGTTAGTTTCCCCTCCTCAGCTCACTTTCCTCTCCCTGATTAGTTAATTGTTTTCACTAGGTTTCTCTCCCCACCCACCTGGAGCTTATCTCCCACTCATCCTGCCCCAGTGTATTTAACCCTGTCTGCGTCTCTGTTTGTTGTTGGGTCATTGTTTGTCAGCCTTGTCTCGTTCCCCTCTCTAGATTTTGTATATCTTGGTTTCTTACATTCTTGGATATCTCTAGGTTTTGTTATTAAGTCTTTTTGATTTTGGTTTTTGGCTCCCGGCCGTTTTGGATTTATTCGTTAATAAAGGATTTTTACGTTATTTCTACCAACCCTGTGTCATCTGGAATCTCTGCATCTTTGGGTCCTAACCTCCTCTTGGCTCACAACGTGACAGAGGTGCTTTCTACTTTACAGGTAGCAACATTTATCATAATTTGAAAAAAAAAAAAACGCAACAGTCACGGCAACATGGTGTAACACTACCCTCAAATGTGTGTACTGCCTTCTATCGAAAGGAAACTACACGCTGCCACTTTAAGCTGTTAATAATGCGCTGGAGATATGGTGCAGAGCTTCACCCTGATGGAGAAGCAAACTTGCTACTAAAGGTGGAGAATGTGTTTGTTGGGAGGGCTGGAGTTTCACCATTTTTATTTCTGTGAGTGCATGAAAAAAGTTTGTGAAATTCACCAAACTTTCATCTTTAAAACACTGACTTGTCTGGTTGGATTTGAACAAAACACCCACATTTGCACACATCTCCCACCTCTAAGAACAAAAATAGATGAGAAAAACAAGTCTTGAGGGCACCGAGACCATGGCGCTGCTTATAACATAAAACAGAAAAGTCATACCTGCGTTTGATGGAGTTTGACACTGAAACCTAAAGTGTCTGACTCTGACAATGGAGGCGGCTTTTCATTGCTTCCCCTTTGACTGTAAACACTTTTACCCATGGCCACAACGTTCAGCATTTTTAACCAAAACACTGTTTTTTCTCAACATAAAAAGCTTTATGAGTAGATGGTTTACTCCTTTTGCTCCTGGATGCACCTGCAGGTGTGCTGAGAGGAAATAAGAGTAAACATCTTCAAAATGTCCCTGCAGATTTTGAGAAATATTTATTTAACCACGAACCAAATCACAGCACAAACCATTTCACAGGGTTTTATTAATTTGTATTGCTTTCACTTTCACTTTGAGAATCTTAGATAACATTTCTGGGGTTTTTCCCTTTTATTCCTACTTTAGATCTTTACTTTTCTCCTACAAGCTAACATATTTTTTAAAAGACTTCTCTGCCTTGATTTAGTGAAATTGGAACATATCCCTTCAACTCTGTTAAAGGATTTGTTTTATAATATCAGGCCACATAAGGTTGATTTGATTCATTCTGGTTGTGTCTCAGCTGTTTTCAGAAACACATCCATTGTAATGAACAGTCTTTATTTCACTTTTTTTTCTCTTTTTTTTTCCCTTGAGGCTCCACAAAGTTTACAGCCAATAAATGCCTTAATATAAATTGTCAGGCACATTTTGGCAACTTGCCTTTAGTTGCTGATTCTGTATTTTTAATGATTACTGTGTGAATTGACACTCAGTCCCAAAAAATAATTATTTTTGGAAATTCTCGGTCCATTTAGAGAGGAATTATTGACTCCACTTGGTTGTGGGACACCACAAGGCTTTGTTTAAGGCTCCTTCCTCTTTTATTAAATGTTTCTATTGGGTTAGGTTCAGTAGATATAAACAAATATGTCCTTTCACTTTTCTCCGATGACCTTGAGATTTATCTACTATTCAGTTTTAGCTGAGTTTTCTTTGTGCTTAAGTTAAAAATATTGAAGAAAAGGCAGCAGCTCGTCCTATGACAGGGATTAGACGTGATTGTGTCACAACTGAACTGGTTTTTAGTCATTTAAAGATGCAGGTTGATGTTTTATTGCTGGTTTTTAGAGTCAAAATTGTACATCTTCATTTTTTTTTTTTTTGTTGAAACTTTTTACCTTCACACTCCAGCCAGAACCTCTGAGGTCCACAAAACACTGCTGGATTCAGGCTCAAAAGCAACAGCTTGAAAATAAGAGAAGCAATTCAGACCTATTCTTTTCTGGGTTTAGTTGTAGTTGAGTTGAGTAAAGGCTTGTTTAATTTAATGTATTGCTCTTTTTAAAATGTAAATAACATTTACTGATGCTTTGTTTAGTAATGGTTTAATATTTTTGTGCAGCACTTTGGTTAACTGATTGATGCTTAAATATGATATAAAAATAACTTTAACTTGAACCGATGGAATGCACCAGAATATAATAAATTCAACACTGACTTTTGATATTGGTTTTCTTAAAAAAATAAATCTTGCACATTATTTTCTTTTTTCCACCTCTTCTGTTTACTAAAATTGGCAGTGAAATTAAGAAAAATCAGGCCTTCTGCAGCATGATATCAATTATTTATTGTTTTGTGACATTTCATATAGGACCCCAGAGATCTACAAGAAAAAAATAACTTTAGTGTGACATAATGAATATGTTTAATATGTTGTGTATCCCAGCAAAATTAAGAGGAAAAATTTCTAAACTTTAGTCAGAGTGAAGGGGATGTTTGCTGGGAGACTTTGGACTCATGACCCGGAGAGGTCCTTGATTGGGACCCCTGTCAGACTCTCATTCATTAACGGACAGTGAGGCCTCTCAGTATGCCCCCCCCCCCCCCCCCCCCCTTCCCAAAGTGCATCTTTTATTATCTCTTTTCTCTCCTTTTCCTCCCAAAAATGCCCGGTTCCTGTGGAGCGGTTTTGTGTGGTCTTATGCTGTTTTCATCCCTGCTCTGGCGGGTTACCCTGGTCCCCCCTCGCACCTGGGCCGCTCCCAGGTCCCTACAGGAATGCGCTGGGGCTTGTAATCGCCTTTGTGGGGGCCCATTGAGTTCTACGGCTGACTGAAACTTCCCAACCTCACAGCGCGCTAGCCGCTGAATGGGACTCAGCGTGGGGCGACTCTCCAAAACTCCAACGCTGCCAAATTCCAACAGTGGCGTACCACAATCAGTCCCACACAGACCCCGGTACTCCTCCTGGCAGGAGGGACGGGACGGGACTGGGGAGGGACGCGGTTGTGGCGCAGAAAGATGAAGTCAAAACAAAATCACGGATTTCTGCGTCAGATCTGGGTTAGATTCTTTTTAATGAATATTGAGTCAAAATATATTTAAATTAAGGTTTATATAATTTCTCACCCCTTGTTTCAAAAACCTCCACAGGTTGCAGGTGCCATTCCAAAAAGGGAGACATCTGAAAAAGTGAAGAAAAATAAATATAAAATAAAAAACTATTTTTTTGCAGCTGGACAAAGTTTGAAAATAAGCTTTTATTTCTTATTTCCCTCAACTTTTGGTACATTTGCGCCGCGTTTCAGTGCATTTGGTCTGCGCCGGCATACGGGTAGATAGAGAGCAACACTGCAGGATTAAGAGGCAGCAAGATTGTTAAACATGTCAACGTGTAATAGCACGATAAGGCCCTTCCGAGGAATTCATTGGCCCAGCTGCTTTCTCTATTCCGCGCTAATCTCGCCCGGCACATTCGCTCTGTGCAATCTGTCTCCATAATCTTCTGTGACAGAGCGGGTGACGAGAGCAGGCTGCTTGGTAATTTTTTTAGGCAAAGAGGGGGAAGACGCGCAGAAAATATGCAGAGGCGTGATAAAGTGACGCTAATTACCCCCATTTAGGACAGGGAGTGCAAGGGATCGGGGCTGTGCGAACAACCGATTGTGCGCCGCTGCTGATGGCCTCATAGCGCGGAATATATCGGTGGCTACAAGATAAGACGCAGCGCGCGGAGGAGAGATTTATTGGCCGGTCAGTTAAACACAACCACGCGCACGTCCACACGCGCGAGCGCGTGCAGCGCGCGCACACACACACACACACAGAGAAACCTGTCCTGTTCTGTCACATATAAAGTCGCACCCTCTTCCACCTCCAGGTGTAATTTATGCGGGTTAAATTTGCCAGAACGCTCCTCTTTTAACCTGGCATGCGCCGTGACGCGCTCCGCCTCTCCGAGCTTTCACTGTTTAATCCGCATCTCCTCACATCAGCAGATAAGAGAGAAGCAGAAGAATAGACCCTCCTTGTGCCTTGGAGATGTCCCCACAAATGCATTTTCTTTTATAGGGGTTTAAATGGTTCCTTTGATTCATTTTAACAGATTTACGCGCATCCACACGCGTCATAGCGAGGCCTTTACACGTTTAATTGACGTGCCACGCGAGCCACGCACTCTAACTATATTTGAGAACTGATTTTTAAAATGCATAAGAGGCATAAACGTGCCCTCATTTGCATGTGTATGACTATTAGTCAGCAGCCCGTTGTAGTCAGAACTGTACATGTCAAAGCAGCTGTCAAAGATGAAGTCATAGAGTCATCTCAGCTCTTCAGTTAGTTTAAAGAGGATTAGAAACTTTATAAAGAACATATCTTTTCCACAAATGCGTCTGTTTAAACACGTTTGTATCTGAAAAGAGTGAAAATTTGATGGTCTGTGGGTCATTAATAGCTTCTTGACAGGAGGGTTTGGAAGTTTCCCTCATAATAACAATTGTGCAATTTTTTAATCTAAAACTAAAAGATTTCAAACATTTATCAATCTCAATTTGATTTAAAGGAACATTATATAATGTTGATGCCTTATTAAGATTGTTTTTCTGAATATTTTCGCTTCAAAAAGCATCAAAATTCAAATGTTAAAAAAATGTATCATGAAAACAAGTAAAAAGATCTAATGGTTTGCTATTAGAATAAATGTCTAAACATACATTTTATATTAAAATTCTAAGTAATTTATAAGCTTTTGTAAACTCTTATCCATCGTATTTGAATCTGGGACCAAAATGTATTTTTGTCTCAAAGAAACTTCCAAATAAACAGATTTTATTTTAGATTGCACCAAATGTTGGATTGTAATTTGTTGATAACAATCACAAAGTCTTTCAAAAAATAAAATTGGAAAGTAAATTAAAGAATAAACAAGATCTAAGCAATAAATAACTCATTTAGACTTTTCGTTCTTCTATTAAGAGCTGTTTAAAGTTACATTTCTGCTCGGACCTGTTAGAAAATGAAGTTCTGCTCAAATTTATAATTCATAAATAAAATAAATAAATGATTTTATCACTTTTTGAAAATAAAACACAGATATAGTAAAACAAAATCATAAATGAACATAAAATAACTTGTTTTAAAATAAAAAAGTTGGGATCATTTTGATCATTTGGAGTAATATTTCTTTTAAATAGTGATTATAAATGAATTGATAAAGATTTCTAACAGGTGGTTACATCTTGTCAAGTTTGTTGAACTCAAAATCAGGTTTAATTTGTCTAAAATGGCAACAAAATGAAGAAAACTTTTTGAAGAAGAAATGACGTTTTTAGTTGTGTTTTGCGTTTCAAGGTAAAATAGCATCAATTGTTTGTCTGCCAAGGAAGTGGAAAATAAAAAATTCAAGCATATATTTTTAAAAGGAATATTGAACTCTCTAACGGGTTGTCTTTCTTCCCAAAACTGGAGCTTTTACGCACAATTACGCACAGGTCGAGTTTAAAATCTCGTGCGGATTTGGATGAATCAAAAGGTTTCAGAGATCAGTTTTCCTCCTCCCAGCTGAAGATGATGTTTCTTGTGCCAAAAAAGGTGAAAACACATTTTAAATGTTGTAAACAAAATCACTGAGAAAATAATCAATCTAAGACGGGTTTCTTAAGAATCAAAGCAACATCTTGTGAAATTTATTCAATACTTCTTCATTGCAATATCAGAGCTTTTCACCACCAGAAAAGCACTTAAATTACAACAGCGGCTTGCCCGTTATTCTGTGGGATATTAAAATTATTCACAATTTACAATAATTAGAGCGTTACAATAAAAGGAGATGATTCAGAGGCTGAAGAAGACACAGGCTTTTTTTCTGTCAAATCAATACAAACGTTAAAGGAATGTGAGTCCCTCCCGAGTATTTTGAAGCACTTTCTCATGAGTATGACAGGTTTTCTCATTTTCAAATAACTTACAAGAACTTCCCCGCCCCATCCCCCCTACAAAAAAAAAAAAAGATATCTGAGATAATTTAAGCAAAAACAAGCTGATCCCCCAAACTGAGACTGGAGTGATGGACAGATGGGAGCACAACATCTCAGCATCATATATAATTCCACTGGTTTTTCAAAGAACGCCGAGATGAATTATTAGTTATTTACCCTTCATTTACATTATCGTAAACATTCTGTACAAAATGCAAGGAGCTCTCGGGAGCGGGGTTATTTAGAAAAGAGGTAAATATTTGGTTATATGTTCGTTCGCAGTGTGGAGTGGTTCTGTGAGTTCTAAATGTGTGTTAGAGGGACCGTCCCGTTCACTCCAGCCGCGGCGCTCTGGTAATGTTGCGGTAAGGCATGGAGTCTACTCTGCATTGACGGGTCCCCCGGCTCTCCGGTTGGTAAATACATGCTTATCATCTCCCTCAAGTCTCCGGGGCAAGGACCCCGTGAGTGTGTGCTGCTGACGGGGGGGCTTACGCTCGGCTCCGACTTCACAAGTGACCCTAACGTTCCCATGGCAGCCGAGGAGGAGACGCTGGAGCCCTGGTGCTGCGTGTAGGTGATCCCGCCGTAGCTGGAGGGGGAGGCGTTCATGTAGCTCTGAGAGTTCGAGATGGGGCTGTATTGCAGGGCGGTCATGTCGTAGCGGTGCATGGGCTGCGGGTTGTGCGAGTGGTGGTGGTGTGAGTGGTGGTGGTGGTGCGCTCCGCTGCCGGGGTGCTGGCTGTAGGCGAGCTGAGCCTCCTGCATCATCGCCGCGGCTGCCGCAGCTGCAGCCACCTGCCCCGAGTACGCACCGTTCGCCCAGCCGTTCATGTGCGCGTAGCCGGAGCTGGCGGAGCCTCCGTGACCCCCGGGGCTCTCTAACCTCTGGCCGACCCCGGATGAAGTCATGCCGACACCTAAACCAACTCCACCTCCAGAGCCGGGCCCAGAAAGCAGTCCACCCGCGAGGGAATATTTGTCCTTTTTCAGCAAAGTCTTGGTCTTCCGCCTGGGCCGGTACTTGTAATCCGGATGCTCCTTCATGTGCATGGCTCGCAGCCGTTTCGCCTCGTCGATGAAGGGACGCTTCTCCGCCTCCGACATCACCTTCCACTCTGCGCCCAGCCGCTTGCTGATCTCCGAGTTGTGCATCTTGGGGTTTTCCTGTGCCATCTTTCTCCGTTGCCCTCGGGACCACACCATGAACGCGTTCATGGGTCTCTTCACTCGCTCCTGATTCGCTTTGGACCCACTGTTCGGCCCCGTTTGCCCCGTGTTTGTGTTCGTTTGGGGGCCGGGGGAATGGAGGTCAGTTTCCATCATCATGCTATACATTCACCCGGTTTTAAACTTCGCCACCAACAGAGAGAAAAAAAAGTTCTTTTTTTGAGGAGCTGGCAGGCGCGCACAACTTCGAGCGCGCTGCGGCTGACTTTAATTAATATTCTAACCCCCAAAGGACACAAATAGCATTTGAAAATTAATCCGAGAAGGCAGATAAAATGTTCTCCAGTAAGTATTTCACCTTGTCTTCTGGGTTGCTTCACATCCAGTCTGACAGAATGCGCATTTGAGCCACTTTCCCTGTTTGAGTTGAGAAGTTGCTTAAAGCGGCGGCCATATGATGCGCACTGACAGCGGTTAAATGAGCCACAAGCGTCCAATAGGGCTGAAGCAGCAGAATGATTTGCATGGCGTTCAGTCAGGTGACTAGAGGACCATAGAGGAAGAACACACCGGAGGAGGAGGGGAAGAAGGAGGAGGAGGCAGTGAGGAGGATCAATCCCACAAATAGCAACATTTGAACATTTCAAACAGGCTCTCAGAGACTTTAACGACAAAAATAACTAAGATTTGGTAGTTGCATCGATGAAGCGGCTGAATGGTGGGTTTTTATCTCCCATTACAACGAGTCAAACTTCCTAGAAGTTGAATTAATCACCCAAATCTTACAAAATGTAACGTGCTCCAAAATAATTTCTCTTATTTTCTTATTTGAGCTTTCAAAAACTCCCACTAGTAATTAAATCAGCCTAACAGTGACAAAACAGGCCTCTGTGGACTTAAAATAGAAAACAATCACATGTAATCTACCCCAGCAGGACGATCTAATGGAATCATTTAAAAATAAATTTTGTCCTTCAAAGTAAGACAGGAAATGGTACCAAACAGATTTATTTTTAAGGAATAAAATCTATTCCCAGAGGAGAGGTTCATATAGATGGATGGCCATTTAATGAGGTGAAATTGGGGGGTAACGCGTTGTTATCGCCGTCTGCTGGTGATGGGGAAAGAGCTCCAGTGGTCAAATATTTACTGTCATTTTTCTGGTAGCTCTTTTTACGCAGCTGTTGCTTTTCACTCATCTTATTTAAAATCAAGTAGTCCGATTATAGACAAGCAGAGAAGAGCGTAAAGTCTTCGAGTCCGCGCGTAAATAATCCAGATTTCACAGCTGACCTCCTCTGAAAAGCCCAATCAGCCTCTAATTGAAAGGGAAAACGAAATACCACTTCCCGTGGCGAGACTAACGATTTAATAATTCTCTCGTTCTTTGCTGCGTTTTTTTTTCTTTTCTGTTTTGTTTTAATTAGAACTCAGCCTGATGTAGCTCAGCTTTGGTTTTTGGGGGCCCGAGGGAGCACGATCAGTGGGACGGATCCGTGCGTATTCTTTTGGTAATAGGGTTAACGGGATGTCACCGTGGTCAATAAAACGTTTCCAGCATCTTTCAGGCCATGTGGCTTCAGGCCCGAGGAGGATGACAATTAAAGTCATGATGGGAGCCACGGGGAGGTGCGTGCCAGGAAAGCCATCACGCAACAGAACCAAACAAAGAATAAAGAAAACCCGACACTCACGGATTTTTGTTTTAAGGATGTGGAGGAAAAAACACACCAATCAGTCCAGTTTAGGGATAAAGGTGTAAATTCTCCCTACAATCAGAACAAATGACCGAATTACTCAGATAAGATGATCACATATAAAGCAGGTCGATGCTGTTCGTTTAGTAAAAAAATAAATGAGTAATTTAGAATTTTTTTCTAAATGATTTAGGCAACGTCAAATTTCTTACTGTTTGTTTTTGTTTATTTAAGAAATGAGTAAGAATCTCACATTTTTATTTAAGATAAAAATGATTTTTTTAAAGTAAGTAAAGAAAAGAGTTCGGGATAAATAAATATGATTTATTTTTCATCCTTTGCGCTCCTTTTTGAGAGGATTTAGGGTTGTATACATGAGGGATTATCCTTCACATTGACACTTGGACCCCGGTGCCCCCCTGTTTACTTTCTCCGTCCACCCCCCACCCTCCTCCTCCCGCCCCATCAGTCCTCCTTCTTTAACAAACCTCTTTTCAAACCTCCTCGCTCCTTTTGTGCGCTGGCTTCTGCAACAGCAGTGTGTGTGAGCGCTGTCATGACGGTGCGAGACAGGGGCCAAGGGTCAAAGCAGTTGACACACACACACACACACACACACACACACACACACACACACACACACACACACACACACACACACACACACACACACACACACACACACACACACACACACACACACACACACACACACACACACACACACACACACCTCCACCCCCTCCACAACAAAACACTACATACAAATATGACCGGCTGTTATCGGAAGCTCAAAGTGTGAGCGCGCGCGCGCCCGCTGCGGCCGCCGTGTCGTTTCAGTCTTGCCTTACAGTTTACTTTTAAATGCATTCAAATAAATCTGTATGGAGTCATCTCATTTTTTATGCTTTGCTTTAAACACGAGCGAAAAGAAAACAGCGGTTTCACGCGCGCTGATTCGGGATCTGACGTGTTGATTCCAGGGTAGAAATTAGGATCACGTGGACTCAGACATCTGTTAATTATTTAATTGCGTTCAAGAGACAAAAGATTCTGCGCGTCAGTTTCAATCCAGAGACTTTCAGCCCACCTGCCCACGTCCCCTCCCCTCCCTCCCCCACAGCCGTCCTGAAAGACGCACAAGCAGAAAAAAAGCAAATTTCTCTGATTCACCTGTTTCATGATTGCTGCATTATTTCCCCCCTTTTGTAATTTTTACCTAAAAGTGGCGCAATAACCTCTCAGTCAGATCCGATGACTTCTGTCATTGTAGAGCAACTGGTAGCACCGCGAGGCTGCGCGCTATGCAGCCAGGTGGAGCTCGCTTTGTTCTAAAATAGCCATTTAATTAAAAAAATTAATAAAACGGCAGCAGGAAAATCCGAGAAAAAACAGGAAATAAAAGCTCTGAAAATAACGTCAAAATGTTTCCAACATTTAAAAGAATCAGCTAAATACGGATGCTATATTTTCACTCTCTTCTGCGTTTCTGGGATCGTTGAAACTTACGCACGTTCCCCTTCGTTGCCTCTGCTCCAGACAAAGTGGTGCAGATTTCTTCCTCCTGCTCTCCTAGAGCCACGTCCTAAAACCCATCCAGGCTGCATGTAGGTCTCCCACCGCAGTCTGGCCGCTCGAGTGCCAAGGCCATCCGTGCCCGGTGCCCAAACCCACCACTCAACACACTGAGGGACAAACACAAGAAGAAATGACATTTATTATAGTTACTGTGTAAAAAAACAGACAATTCCAAGTTATTGTTTCTCTCTGCGAAAAGGGGGCTTGCTTCTAACATAATGAACGTCTTTTGTGCAGCGCAGAACAATACAAAACAAGTATTCTAATAAATAGCCACTTTTTTATGGGAAGGGTGGGGGGAGTGGGGGGTGGAGGGGGCTCCTGGATGAATGGGCTGGAGCGGCGGGGTTCTGAAAGGCAGCTCTGTGCGCATTCCGGGGAGGAGGGGCGAGGACTTGGCGAGAAGCCCTGCACCCCCTTGTCTCCCCCTGGGTACTGACTCCCATTACTGATCCCGAAACAGAAAAGGGATGCAAAAGGATGGAAAGAGGTGGGAGGAAAGGAGGATGAAGGATATTGACTTTGGAGGCTGTTTTAATGCAGGACACACATCTTTTATTACTATTATTATTATTATTATTATTATTAATATGATGAAACAATCATTTCTGGGTTCAGACCGTGAGGCGCAAAGTACCCATTCAGCCTCCGCGAACCTGCACAGCTTGCATGTGCTCCTGACAGCTTGTAGGTGGAGAAACTCACACACTCAGACACACACAACAAACCCACAATATGCTGCAAGATGCGGCTGGGTTAATTAAAGGATTTCTAATTAAACACAGGTTCACAGCCAAGTGTTCCTCGCACTGTTTAATTCCTAAACGTAGAGATTTTTCTCCTCCTCGCATGTTTGTTTTGCAAACATCTCCAGCTGAGCAGCACCTTTACTGCTCATAGACCCAGCCTGTTGCTGCATCCTGAACCCCACCCTCTGACAGGTGCTGCAGCTGCAAGGTTAATAAAAAAAGTGCTAATAAATGACAGTTTTATGTGCAATTAAAACTGATCCATTTCTTGCATTTATCCCAACTTTTATGTGTCATCGCCCTGGAAAAGGATGCATAAAATACGTCCTATTGCCCTCTCTGAGAGAGTGCCCCGAGATAAACAAGAGCGAAGAAAAAAAATCTTTTATAATGAATCTTGCTGCTATAATGCATCACATCATTATTGCATTTAAAGCAGAATGGTAACCTAAAACTGCCAAACAGAAAGTGTTCTTTTTTTTTTTGAAAGAGAACATAACATGTCATTCAAATCTGGGCACTCTTGTCTAGAAGCAATTTGTTCTTTGTTGCTATGTGCTCTATTTTCATCTTCTTCTCCTGCGACAGAAGAGCGTCTAAGGGCTGGATGGAGTGGTGAGTCGAAGGCAGGATGACACCAAGAGGAAGGAGGTGAGAAAAGGAGTCAGCCGAAGGAGGAGAGAGGGAGACCAGGGAGGCCAGTGTCAATCCCCACGGCAAACAGCAGCAGATAATCATGGGCTTTAGGAAAACACTGTGTCCATAATGCTATTACTCAGGATTACCTACTCCAGCAGAGAAAGCGAGACTCTCTTCACAATGTGCCACAGACCTTTCAGATAATCATCTTATCACAGATGACAAACCCAGAAGAAACATCCCATTATTCAAGAGGGAGGGGAGAAAATCGGCAGCATGTTTGGATGAAGACATATTGTAAGTCTAAATTATTCAAGTGGAAAAATATCAGATTTTGAAATTAGCACGCCAGTTGCATCAGCACTCTCCCTCCATTTTTTTCCCATTCTCTCACTGTCCCTTTCTCCCGGAGCGCTTTCTCGTTTTCCCCGCAGGGCAATTAGAGACAAGATTTTACACATTGTTCGGCTTATCAATTAGCCATAACACCTTCCCCTCTGATTGGTCTGTAACGAACATAATGGTTTTAACAGTCAGGAGTTGCTACTCTTAGAGGTGCTGTGCTAATGGTGTCGCCACGGCGATGGAGTCACAGTAACAGCTTTGCAGAAAAGCAGAAGGAGGAGGAGGAGGAGGGGAGGCGATGGGGAGAGGAGGTAAGTCAGCTCTCCCTAACACATCTCTAATTAGAGCTCACAGTCAGTCATTACTGATGTAATAGGGTGTAACACTAATGGCTATCAGGCAAGCCCCCACAAACAACCAAGGGGGGCTCTTGTAAGGTGAGAGGAGCAGAAAATTTATGGAAGAAGGAGGTGAGGAACAAAAGGAGATTATGGTGAGGAGGTGAGGTGAGATGGAAAGTTGAGGAGAGTGAGTGCATTGAAGGAGAGACTGAGGGTGGGGGGGTGGGGGGTGGGTTAGGGGTCAAGGAATGATTTTGGGGAAAAGCGTGCCTCACAGAGGAGAAGAGGTTTTAAACGGACAAGGTCAGACCCATTAATGGAAAGTCTCGTTGACGATTTCAAATCAGACGGCGTAAAAGATTAAAATAATTAGGAGTGTATTTGTTTAGGACCAAAAGAGAGGCAGGACGTCTGCAAGGGAGGAAAGAAACTCAAGAGGGAAAGTTAACCACTTAGACTTTGTTAGGCACTGATGCACTCAGCATCAAATTCAGCTGCGCTGATGCATGTTTTTACACTTCTCAGCATCAAATCGCTGCATCTGGAGCGATGGATGCAAACGCAGAGGAGACAGACATCAGAGAAGCACACAGAGGGAAACCAGAAGCTATGGCAAGAGCTCCAAAGCAAAGATTACATAAAGGCACACATTAAACAGGGCTCCGGCTTTTCTGAGAGACGATGTTCTACACATTTCAAGATAGTTTGTGGCACAAACCCCCAAAATCCATCATAACTTGCTGATTTCCTGGAACATGTGACAACTTGAGCTCCTCAAATTTGAATTAAAGAATGGATCTTCAAGAATTTGAGAGCAGAAAGCTTTAGGAAGTTTGATAGAGATAAAGATTGTTCATTGATATTGAACGATAAAGCTGCATCGTTGCCTTGGAAACGTTTACACTATAAAAAGGTTGCAGCAATAATGGTGTGGATTGTTTAAATGTGCTGACCCACTGAGGGAAAAGCAAAGTGCAGGAGATTTTAAAGAACTGCTCAATTTTTGTACGTTTCATTTCCAGGTTTCAGAGAGAAAAACGTGCTCCGCCACATATTTAACAGCTCTGGCTGCTTTTTAGGCTCCACTTTGGAACATTCAAGATAAACTATTGACATAAATGAAGCACGAGGATCACAGAAGTTGGTTTTTATTCACAATTTTCAGACATGTAGACTCCACATTTCTGTCATTTGCACTATTACCATTTATATTTCAATTTGATCTCTCAAGCAAAATCTGAGAAAAATTCTAAATATTTCCCATCATTCTTGCTTCATCATTTAATAATTCTCTAAAAATGACTGTGTTCAAACATTCTTCATCAGTCAGAGCTGCCGTTCAGTTCTTTAATTACATGTTACAGATTGGTTAGCTGAAGATTTTCATGCCGATTTCAAAATTGTAGCATTAACAACGTTGTGCTAGTAAAAAAGTTTTCATTATGATCTGAAAAATGTAGTATGTGTGCGCATTTATGTAAAAAATAAACAAATATTTTGACATTGTCCTTGGAAGTCAAGAAGAAGAAGAAGAAGC